AATCCCGAAGTCAATCATAATCATACGACAAAATTATAGACAGCGCTGCTGGATGCGTTCGAATTCGAGATATGGGAGCTTCCCACCCAGATGTTATCTTATCACTGCTTTCAATATGTACCACTTTCACTTTAAATTCACCCTTTTTCAAACCAAATTCACCCTTTTTCAAACCAAATTCACCCTTTTTCAAACCAAATTCACCCTTTTTCAAACCAAATTCACCCCTTTTCAAACCAAATTCACCCTCACTTTTCACATCAAATTAACCACACTTATTAGGGCGGGCAACTCATCAACCAGATCACGCCAGACATCACTGCGAGCCCCGCCCCGACGGCCACGCCCACTTGTCAGCGCGGACATAGATTCTCAAATCTTGTTTCATAACTTCTGCTTTTGCTGTTTCCCACAAACACTTTGACTGGAAACGACCGGGCATTGACACATGGCCGACTCCGCCCATTCTCTAAAGGGTTTGGCAATCTAGGCTGACCACGCCCACTTGCTTTTCGCGGACTTTCGATATTTTTTCAAAATTACTGTGCTCCGCCCACTTTGAATAAGCCCCGCCCACTTTTCAAAAATGGTGCAATCGGGCAGTATAGAGCCTTGGCTTGCATGCTAGGGTATTGCTGATCATTCGGAATAAACTTTGCCGGATTTTCTTGTTCCGAGTGACGAACGAGACCCTAGCATGCAAGCCAAGTCTCTATACTGCCGATTTGCACCATTTTTATTTATTTATTTATTTATTCACTGCACGCAGAGGTGCGCTTTTACAACACAACATTTAGTAGGGCGAAGCTTCTTCATGGTGGGCGGCCCTCTCACAGAAGGGGGGGCTTCACGCAGCAGCCCTAAAATGCAAAAATTTTGAAAAAAAATATCGAAAGTCCGCGAAAAGCAAGTGGGCGTGGTCAGCCTAGATTGCCAAACCCTTTAGAGAATGGGCGGAGTCGGCCATGTGAATGCCGGTCGTTTCCAGTCAAAGTGTTTGTGGGAAACAGCAAAAGCAGAAGTTATGAAACAAGATTTGAGAATCTATGTCCGCGCTGACAAGTGGGCGTGGCCGTCGGGGCGGGCTCGCAGTGATGTCTGGCGTTGTAGTGATGAGTTGCCCTAATAAGTGTGGGTATTTGATGTGAAAAGTGAGGGTGAATTTGGTTTGAAAAGGGGTGAATTTGGTTTGAAAAAGGGGAACTTTGGTTTGAAAAAGGGTGAATTCAAAGTGAAAATGGTATAGAAAGATTCTAGTCAATAGAGAGCGCCAGTTCGTTACAACGGGGCATCTGGTGCAATAAAGCGTCGAATTACGGTAATCCCAACTTCACAAACTACTGAAACATGCGGGCTTCGCTTTCATATCCTCGTTCTTTTCGCGGGATTGGAAGACATTCATGGTTGGAAGTTGGATTGTACATGCTAGATATGGTCCAAGCGAGGAGGAGATGTTTTAACGTAACGTAAGGAAAAACTCTGGGTGAGCCAAATCATCCAAGCCCAAAGCTCCTCTCATAAGGTCTTGACAGAAAGCTTTTCCTAATCGTTTACAATAGAGTAAATGTTTTTGCAGTGGCTTGAATCTGGTTCGAGTGTTATTGCGGTCAAGGAGACGCTAGGGCAGTTTCTTTGGGGAAGACTAGAAATCTGCAGAATTTAGGAAGATGATAGATCGGATGAGGAAGGGTTGGGGTCGTATCAGAGGATGAAAACTGTTTGTAATGGTTTGGAACCTGGTCCGGGTGTAATTCAGGGCACACAAGACTCAGCATCGCGTATAAACTAGGAGAATGTTTTCTAGTTAACTCACTCGATAAACTGACCAGGGCACGCCGTGCGTTGGGGATCTTCCCCTGCTCGACGGCAGTTTCTTTGCTGAAAAACTGGATACAGCATTTAGAAAGATGTTACATGGGGAAGAGAAGGGAGAGAAGAACCGGAGGAAGAAATGTTGAGAGTTGGGGGTCGAATTTTGCAAAAATTTTCCAATGGCAGGGCGTGCCCTGACAGTGATTACTGCTACCGTAAGTCAGTTGCTCCCAGTGCGAATGTGACCCCTCACGATGGCTCCTTTGCCGCCGCCTTCGCCACGACGGGTGTACTGAACTATACCCGATATAACGAGCGTCTAGAAATGAAATGAAGAATCCCTGTATAGACGCAAACGAGAAAAATGCTACACTTGTGGCGTCGGGCAGCATCCTTCTACGAGATGAGAAAGCGAATCGCTTCTGGTTGATGAAACAGACGATAGCAGCATGTTGAAATTCACAGCTGCTGATTAGACGAGAGATATAAGAAATGGCAGATGCACTCGCGAATCTGATGAATGCACGACAGAAGCGTAGGTTACAGACGTCAAAAAACAGCTCTCCGATCAACGTCAACAACACGTGCAACAGAAAGAAAAACCTAGAAAACCTGCCCCTCCCCAGTCACTCCAGTTACGATCTCACACAGCTTTCGATTTCAAAAAGTAGAATGAAATGGTGAAAAGGGAAAGGTAATGGAAGAATGAATGAAGTCGTTCATCCGCATGATATCGACGAGCAGTCCAACATTTCCGTCCAATGGGACCTATCTGACTTTTTTTTGAATTAGGCGTGAACAGCACCTCGTCCTCTCCCAGCATAGTCGTTGATACGCGGACAGAGAACGTGGAAATTGAGCGGGCTGTCCGAAGCCACTATTTCCCTTCATATGGGAGGTCTGACGATTTGATGCTCAATATTACCCAGCCAACCTGGTCATCTGGTACCTGGCATCAGGCCACTCTTAGGTTGCGTGCATACTTTGCGACTGGAGCCATTCAATCGTGCCGTGGCGAAATCGCGCGACTACGACTAACCGTGCTCCACTGGCAAAAGTTGGACCAGTGCAACTGCTTTGCTAATCGGCAGAATTCAACTTATTTCGGATTTTCAGCAGTATAATGATTAGCGCTGGGGCTCTGTCCGTTGCAGTCACGCGAAATCGCAGAATCGTTCGAGTTGCTAAGTATGACCATGACCGTACGCTCGGGATTCCCTGTGAGAAGGTTCGTATCCGGTTGCAAAAAGCACGGGGAGGTCGTTACTGCCACTGAGAAAATGTTTTCGGTTGTTGAAACTCTTTATTTTTCCCGTATCACAGGCGCAATGTGATCTCCCCCTCCCCTGGGAAAATCTTGGAAAAATGTAGGAAGTTGGGAATATTGAGGAAAATAATAGGTAGAATGGAGATGTGGAAGCGGTGGCCATGGAGAGATGCAGGGTCGTACAAGAGAGCTAAGTCCTGAAGGGGGGGGGGAGGAGAGTATTTTTCGCAAAAATGTTCCCAAAGGTAGGGCGTGCTCCGTTGAGTACAGGTAAAGAAACCATTGACGAGGATAAGGTGTAGCGCGTGAGATAAGATTCTACTCTCCTCCCTGACTCCGCCTCTTCTCATAGCTACCACTTGCTCGCTGATGCTTCTTTCTATGAAATCGTAAGTCCTCCGCTCCTGTCCAGTACTTCTGCCGTTTGACTCGTGTTCATGACTTTGTTGTTTACCCGTGGTTCTTAAATGCACGCGTCAAAACATACGCTGATCTGAAACATTAGTGCACCGCGGGTGTTTACTACGTTCAAGGCACGTCGTACGTTGGAGATCCTCAGTGAGGGGGTGATATCCGGTCGTTGGAAGTAGGGGGCCGCATTTGCTTACGTTTTCGGTTGCGTACTTTTCTTGGATCATCCCGTTTCCATGCAGCCCTGCCCGATGGTATTTTATTTTTCTGGGAAAACTAGGAATCACCAGAAAAGTGGTAGAGAGGTAGGAAAACATTAGCAAGATGATAAGTGGGATGAAGAAAGGGGGGATTCGTGCCAGAGGAAGGAACTTGAGGAGGGAGATCGTGTTTTGCGAAGTTTTCTTTTCCAACGGCAGGAAGTGCTGCGATCACATTACACCGCAATTCCAACATGAGAGAGTAGAAGGGGCTATAGTTCTAATCCTTGCCAGTTGTGATTCGATCTAGTCAACGTTCGATTGCTTTTCAATTGCGTCACTTGTCAATCAAGACAAGCCTAAATCCTAACAAGGATGTGTGATCGGAGCAGACGGAACCGAAGTAATCCGCACCGAAAAGTCGCACTACGTCTCCCAATCGCGTAAGTTTGAGATATCGGTTGATAAAGAAAGCTAAGGTGGAGTCCTTCGCGAGCATCGATGGAATACAGAAGGATAAAGATCACCAACAAAGAAACCTAGTAGCTTTATAAAGATTTCAAAGCAAGGACTCTCCATTAATGCTTACGAGACCCAGCAAGATAAGCACTTTTCTGAAATCCCGAAATGGTAATCTGAAACATCGAAAACTACTCTCATCTATTGAAAAAAAAAACGCGCGTTAATTATACGATGCAATGGTACGACGGTGCAAACTTGCACATCCTCTGCTCCATGGCGAAAACCCGCCCCTGGTAGATTACGGTATGGGTTACTCCCGTCCTATAAATGCGCGCGCTTGTTTGAATATACGGTCTACTATCCTTTTTGGCAATGGCTTTTTTGCAAACGTAGGAGGGTTCTGAGTCTTCTTCTGTCGTTCTTTTTCATAGAATTAGGTTGATGAAATGGTATTGAAACAGGAAAGATACTTAACAAAAAGTTGAGCTGGTTGGCTTTGCAAGCCTACGTTGGGATGACGTCATCTATCCACTTCCATTCATAGTTCAGCTGTCTGGCAGTATTCTCAAATTGGTGGGGCCGGTCAACCAGTATAGTGAATCTTCGGTTAAAAAAAACATCGTAACTAATCTAGCAGATCGCCCGGTTGACTTTGTCTAAAGCGGTAGGCTTATGACCATTGCGACTTGTTTTTTTTCGTTATACAGTCTAAGGGAGTATATGCTCGTTGTTAAGGCACTAGCTTGATACATTTACAGAATATTGTGTGTTGAGTAGTTGATGTTTCAGAAGTTTTATGGTTTTCACCACTGAATCTGTAAATAACGGCGATATAGTTGTAGTCCATAATGAACAACGAGGTATGTTCACTACTTTTTTGTTTCGTTCTTTGAAACTTTTATCTCCATTGTTTTCAGATTTGCCCCAGCGGTTTGCCATCAGGAAATTTCGAAGCAAATGTTGAGGAGCCGTCGCTTCCAGCACCGGTTAGTAAGCCGTCTGTGGTCCTTCTCCCCAACCGTGTCTCCGTCTTCGACCTTCTTGAAAATTCTCTAACTCTAGTCATTTGTTCGAAAGTGGTTATTTTTAGAACCGAATTCCCATTTGGCGACGGAAAGCCTTTCCTCCAACTCCTGCTCGGGTATGTTGATGCAGTCCAAATTTGTTCGCTTTAGCTTTTAGGCGTTATATTGCAGAATCACCCTTGTATTGCTGCCAAAATTGATAACTATTGTGTCATCATTGCTTCCGCCTCATCATCGTGTGAACCTTTTCTCCTCTAGAGCGATGATCCATACGAATTCTCCTCGTCAAACCTCACACCTGCAATTAAACGAGTCAAATCAAGATCGAAGATGCCTTCTAACAATTCCAATGTGATGCGTAAAGCTGCTGTGGTATGTCTTCTTCTACTGGAGGCTGTTCCACTTATCCTCCCGAAGAAATTTTGTTACAACCAACACTCTGAAGATAGTAAAGAGCTGCCCTGGCATTCGCCCGGGAAGCCTGTGGTGCGAGCTCGAGTTGCGCTTGAGGCCTGAATCTGCCCATAATTTAGCATTCTTGCGATAACTTCCGGAGTGCGAACTGCAGGGTTTAGTTGCAATTATCATAATGAAAACATTTTTAGTTTGCTTCGCACGTCCAGTTCCATTCTTCGACGTCACTGGTGGGCAGTTCGGGGGAGGAAAGCCAATCTGTGAAGGTACTAACTGTTACGTATAACAGTGCTCACTCGGTGTTCAGTGTTCTGAGCCTGGAGAAAGGAAAAGTG